AATAGGAGATCAGAGAAGTGACTCTAGTCTGATTGCTTATTTTGACTTATGATTTTATCATTGAAACTGTTGGTTTAGATCACATTTGGTGTTTACATTCTGACTTATACTGTTTCTTGATTTTATTGGCCTGTCTCTGTGTAGCTATCAGTACTCTTTAGGGAATCTTTCTTAGCTGTCTTTCCTCACTTCTTCCTGGTCCTGGGTCTCTTTCTCACCTGATAGTTGGTATGTAGTTGGTACGTATATCTGTTTTCCCTCTGCACTTCTCTCTTTTGCTTATTTTGACTTATGATTTTATCATTGTAACTGTTGGTTTAGATCACGTCTGTTGTTTACCTTCTGACTTACACTGTTTCTCGATTTTATTGGCCTGTCTCTGTGTAGCTATCAGTACTCTTTAGGGAATCTTTCTTACATGTCTTTCTTCACTTCTTCCTGGCCCTGTGTCTCTTTCTCACCTGATAGTTGGTATGTATATGTTTTCCCTCTCACACTTCTCTCTTTCACTTTTATTGACTTATGATTTTAACATTGTAATTGTTGGTTTAGATCATGTTTGTTGTTTACCTTGTGACTTACACTGTTTCTTGATTTTATTGGCCTGTCTCTGTATAGCTATCAGTACTCTTTAGGGAATCTTTCTTGCATGTCTTTCTTCACCTCTTCCCAGCCCTGTGTCTCTACCTCACCTGATAGTTGATATGTATATCTGTTTTCCCCCTCGCACTTCTCTCTTTCTAGCTCCCTATTGACCCCCCCTTCCTCCATTATTTTCCTCTTTTATATGAGCCCCTTTTTAAATCTAGGGACCAAGACTACATACTGCTGAATAGACAGACTGTAAAGCAGAGGGAAAAGTGAACAAAGCCAGAAGACCCTCATAAGGAAGAACAGGTCATTGCAGAAGAAAAATAAAAGCAACCTCACCTTCCCCCAAAAACAGAATTGAAGAAGGGGAGGGAAAGGGGGAGAGGGAGAAAAAACTACAGAAATGAAGAAAAACCAAAAGAAGAGTATGGGTCTCTCCCAGACACCTGGGAGAGGAGACACTGAGAAAACTGACTTTGGAGTGTCAACAATGAAAAGCCCCCAGAATGAAGGGTCTCAAACTGCAAATGTAGATATCAAGACAATAATGGAGAGATTTAAAAGAATTGAGAAGACATAAGAAGAAACTAGGAAGGAGCTGGTATCTGAGATAACAGTAATAAAGAATACTGTGAATGAAATAAATAACAAACTGATAAGCATGGAAAGCAGAATTACCCAAGCAGAAGAAAGAATCTCAGAGCTTGAGGACCAAAATATAGAAATAACCCAAACTCTTAAAAACACAGAAATAAGCTCAAAAAGACAGAACAAAACCTTCAAGAGATGAGTGACTACCTCAAGAGGCCTAACCTAAGAGTAATTGGACTCCCTGAGGCAGAAAGAGAAACAGAGACCACATTGG